CCTCTTATGCGTCACGAACGCGAACAAATAATCCAGTGGAATTGCAGAAGCGCTATCTGCAATAAAAATGATTTAATCCATTTGCATAATAAATTTGAACCATTTGTCTCAACTCTGTCGGAAACATGGCTTCGACCGGAATTGACTTTTCGAATTCCAGGTTATGTTATTCTCCGACAGGACAGACCTGTCACCTGACGGCTATGGCGGTATTGCCATAGTCATTAAAAATAATCTCCCCTATTCCCTATTTCCACTTCCCTCATTCGGAGATGACTTATCAGTCATTGCTGCTATTGTAAATAAAATTTGTATAGTGTCTATTTATTTTTCTCGTCCTAATGTAAATATTTTTTCTCATCTTAATCAACTGTTCTCCATCCTTCCAAGGCCATTCTTAGTCCTAGGTGATTTTAATTGCCAACATCAATCCTGGGGAAGCACTTCTTCCAACTATTATGGAGATCAATTATTAGATATTATAGATTCTCATTGTATCTGTATTTTAAACACTGGGCTACCAACCCGTGTTACTGGTCCATGTGAAGGTGCAAGTGCGCCTGATCTATCTTTATGTTCACCTGATTTAGCTTCAACTTTAGACTGGCACCCTCTTGCATCTTCGTATGGTAGTGACCACTTTCCACTTGTAATTACTTTTCCTTCACACAAACCTACCAAAACCACTCGCTCTCCTCGTTTTAAATACAGATTAAACAACGCTGATTGGGAATTATTCAACCAACGAGTAGAGCAGAAAACTAGTACTTATTCTCAAGAAGGTGATCAGATCTCTGCCGAAATTCTTTCTCAGGTTTTGATTGAAGCTGCCGATGAATCTTTTTTGCACTAAAACTAAGTTCCGATCGCAAATTCCTTCGCCTCCCTGGTGGGATCATGAATGTACAGCTGCAATAAAAACAAGAAAACAGGCTGAAAAAAATTACTGTGAGGAGATGTCAGAAGAAAATTTCGAGTTATATTTAGAATCTGCCCGTAGTGCTAAAAAATTGTTTAAGAAAAAGAGATATGATGGTTGGCAATCATTTTGTGCCTCCATTAGCCCAGACGTCAGCCCGTCAGAGGTCTGGCGTAATATTCGTAGATTTAGATCTGCATATAATAATTCTCCCTCTTCTAAATTACCGCTAACCCTAGCTGATCAGTTCATGGATCATCTTGCACCCCCTTCTGTACCGGAACAGGGATTTCCTCTATTATCTATTCCTGCTTGCATTTCCGATGACCAAACTGGATTAAACGCTCCTTTCTCTTTGATCGAACTTAAAGGTGTACTCAATAACGTAAAAGACTCTACTCCAGGAGAAGATGGGATTCCATATTCTTTTTTGAAAAACCTTTCGGACCGTGTGCTGATGCTGTACTTAAATATTATAAATTCTATTATGATTTCTGGGTGCATTCCCAAGTCTTGGATCACTCAATCTATTATCCCTATTTTAAAAGACAATAAACCAGCCGATGATCCTTCTTCTTACAGACCTATTGTCCTTTCTTCTGTTTTAATGAAAACACCTAGTTAAAATCCGTTTAGAATGGTTTTTAGAGAGTAAAAATCTATTAGCAACGTCACAATTCGGTTTTAGGAAAAGTAGAAGCACAATGGATAGCTTAGGTATATTCACTACGGACATAAGACTAGTCGAACAACGAGTCGATAGTAGCTACTTTCTTAGATATAAGCTCAGCTTATGACAATGTTCTTATATCGGTTCTTAGGGGAAAATTGCTTTGCTTAGATGTACCACCGATTCTGTCAAACTTTATTATCAATATGCTCAGTGAAAGATACATTAATTTATTTATCGAAGATGTCAAACTATCCCGGACTGTGTGGAAAGGATTACCACAGGGTTCTGTGCTCAGTCCTTTGCTCTATAACATCTACACATATGATTTATGGTGCGTTCCACGACGCTCTCACGACGATCAAAATGCTCCTTTAGCCATTCCACATACCGACCGCGGTCGTTGTGGTCACGGCGAAAACGTCACTCATGACGTCATGACTAATGCTCACGCAACGCTCACAACGACCCATCTAAAGAGGTGGGTCGTTGTGAACGTTGAGAATATTTGGCGCAATTTTTGAAATTTTTTTTGAAATATGACAAATAATAATATTATTATATTCAAAGCTTAAAGATGGCGACAAGAAAAATCACATTATTTGATTCAGAAAGAGAAATTGTTGTAGATGCTATCGAAAAATTACATTTTCATAGTCAATAATACGAGGCCTAAGTTGTCGGTTTTCACGATTATAATTTTTTATAATTGCATCCCATTCTTCATCTGAGCTAGATGAACTAGTTTCTGGAGCTTAATTGCGATGCATAAGCAAATATCCAACTGCCGTCAAAGCCATTTCGATTATATTTTAACTTAAGTTGTTTGATAACTTTACCAAAATTATTTATAAAATATTCAATTATTCTTCACTTTTAACATAAATAAATTTAAGTCACAAATATCAAAACTTATTGTTTATGATTACCTAACCTCCTTAAAATTCTACTATTTTCAAACTTGACATTTGTAATATTTACATGAACGCCCGAAACGCTCCATAATCCATTCCACTTGAGTTAACGACAGTAACATTCACAATCAAGTGGAATGGGGAAATCAGCGGTCGTGAGCGTGAGCGTTGTGAACGCTTAGTGGAACGCACCATTAGAAACATCATCGCAGGCATCAGCAAACGTACTACAATATGCAGACGATCTTCTTATATACAAATCGGGAAAATCGATTGAAAATAATTGCCAAGCTCTAACATCTTCCCTTTCATTTTTAAAATCATGGCTAAATTCGAATGGTTTAGACTTATCTGTATCCAAGAGTAGGGTTGTGTTGTTTTCCAGTTTTCGTTGGCCTCCCCCGGTCCATGTAAAGTTCAATAGTGTTTTGATTCCCTCGACTAATGACGTCAAATTCTTAGGAGTAGTTCTAGATTCCAAGCTTACCGGTGTCCCCCATTGTGAATATGTAACTGCAAGATGTGAACGTAATTTGAATATTCTTAGATGCTTATCGGGCATCTGGTGGGGAGCGCATTCACACATTCCTTAAAACTGATTTACAACGCCATAATCAGAAGTGTAATGGATTACGGTACTTTTCTGTTGGAACCAGGAAATATTTCTGGTTTTAAAAAAATGGATAGTATTCAGGCTAAAGCAATGAGAATAGTCCTAGGAGCTATGAAGTCAAGTCCAATCAACTGTATGAGAGTCGAGTGTGTAGAGCCTCCATTAAGCTTACGACGGCAATTTCTGTCTGATAAATTCCTATTCCGTTGTATCCAATTCAGTAACCATATCCTAACACCTAAACTGACTTACCTGGCATCTTTAATCCCCAACTGTAGTTATTGGAAAAACAAACGCCCACCATGTTTGGTTGAAAGTTACAGAAGATTTACTTGTTTTGAGGCTCCTACTCACCAAGCGACTTCTAATCCATTGTTCAAATATAGTTATGATTCCCTTGTAATCTCTCCTGATATACATACTAGCATAGGTCTTGTGAAAATTTAGCAAAACCAAAAGTTAACATTTAACTATATTGTTGACACCAAGTGGCCACAATGGCATCGAATATTTACAGATGCATCTAAGCGTTCCAAAGATGGCTGTGTAGGTGTTGGTGTACTGCACTCTAATTACAATATTGTTCAAAAAACTAAACTCCCTCCTGAATCCTCCGTGTTCACTGGCGAATGTATTGGCCTTGTTAAAGCCATAGAATACATCCTTCTACTAAAACTTCAAAGAACTGTAATTTTTACAGATTCACTGAGTTCTTTAAATGCCTTAGCCCGGTTCCCATTTGGATCACATTATCAATTCCCTGTCATTTCCGAAATTAGAAACCTGCTATTAAAATGTATAAAAGAAAACTATTCCGTATCGTTTGCATGGGTTCCTGGTCACTGTGGAATATCTGGAAACGAGAAAGCCGATCGTTTAGCCAATGAGGCGGTGGAGAGTGGAGATGTAGACATTTTTAGAAACTATGCGCATGATTTGATGTCTCTTTCAGGGATTTATCTCAGGAATTCCTGGACTGAATCCTGGGCTCAAGATAGTTCAAAAGGTCGCCATTATCGTAATATTCAACCTTCTATACCCAGTAAGCCCTGATTTTGGAAACTGAGATTCAGTAAAAAAGTTACAACAGTACTGTCTCGTATGCGACTGGGACACGTCTGCACCCCAGCTCATCTTACTAAGTTAAATATTAATGACAGCCCTACGTGCGATTGCGGATATGATGTAGGTGATTTAAATCACATCATATTTGTTTGTCCTCGACGCGACCGGTCGGCTCTTCTTGAAGGTCTCATTTCCCTTCAAATTCCTTTCCCTTCATCCATATCATGTTTACTTTCAACATTGGACCCACATGTATATAATCTTTTAGCAGCTTTTATCTTAAGTAATAATATAAAAATTTAGACAATATGAACGTAAATATATGTAAATATATTTTCTTACACTCCTTTTGTATGTAGATTTATAAGAATTGATCTTTTATTTTATAGATTAAATATTTTCTATTCCTAAATTCCTTTCCAGCCGATAATTTTATGTTTTTACCCGTTTCCCTGTTTTTGACCCTGGGCCACAATGCACAAACCGTGCGGGCCAATTTAAAAAAAAAAATCACGATGTGATTTGACATTTCCAATTTCTCATTACAATTACATTCAAGTTTCAAGTAATAAGTATCAAGTATCAACTATCACATTATCAATACTGTACTCTGAATGCCGACTTAATATTTTATAATAATACTTTATTTATATTAATTTATGTGATATTTAATTTATCATAGGTAGGTCAAACACACCTTTCGTTTGATACTTTTTAAACACAAAATGATAGACATTTAATTGCAGTTGTATCACTAGTATTCACAAAGACACAGGCACTGTATTGTAGATAATTGTTAGAGCGCGCGTTCGCCTCATAATGTCTGACAACGATGACGATTACATGTGTGAAGAGGAGGAGGACTATGGCTTGGTAAATATCCCATGAATTCTTGGAATACATAATAGAATATCATATTTTGCATTATGATATTCTAAACCAATATCGTTCTAGAAAACTTACCTATACTTCGAGCTTAGGAACCTCTGAATAATAAAGCTAACACTTTTGAGTTATGTTTGAGAAGAAGATATTTATACCTTAACTATTTTTAAGGAGTATTCTGAGGACAGTAACTCAGAACCAGATGTAGACCTTGAGAACCAATACTACAACAGTAAAGCTCTAAAAGAAGATGAACCAGCTGCGGCATTACTAAGTTTCCAAAAGGTTTTGGAGCTTGAAGGCGGGGAGAAGGGAGAATGGGGTTTTAAGGCTCTTAAGCAAATGATTAAAATAAATTTTAAATTGGTAAGTGATTTTTTTCTTAAGATCTCAATATTTTACTTAAATTCTATTTCAGTATACTTGTATTTTTATAGGGAAATTTCATGGAGATGATGACAAGATATAAACAACTTCTTACATATATTAAGAGTGCAGTTACAAGAAATCATTCTGAAAAATCAATTAATTCAATCCTTGATTACATCTCCACCTCTAGAAATGTAAGTATATTTACTACAATTATTGGATCAAAAATAAAGTAGAATAAATTTTCAACACTATAAGTATAGTATTCTTTTAAAATATGTATATTATTAAATCAACATAAGACAGACACAACATTGCGGTGCTGTTACCACTTTTGAAAATGCTTGTGTACCTTCTATATCCTAATTATTTATATTTACAAATTCATAATCACAATTGCAATATATTCTTTTGCTAAACTACAATAATTAAATACTCTATAGCTCTTATATATTTTATTTTCAAACTCAAGTATTTCTTACAGATGGAGCTTCTTCAAGACTTCTATGAAACTACTCTTGAAGCATTAAAGGATGCAAAAAATGATAGGCTTTGGTTTAAAACAAATACTAAGTTGGGAAAATTGTATTATGACAGAGGAGATTTTAATAAATTAGCTAAGATTCTTAAGCAACTACATCAGAGCTGTCAGGTATATTGTAGATTAATTACTTATTTCTCAATTCAAAATGACTCCAATCTAGATTTATAGTCCTAATATAATATCAGAAATTTACTTATCAGGAATATAAGTATTTCATGTGAATATGTATCTATTTTGTAATAGTATTAACACTTAAGGACTTTAAATTTTCAGACAGATGATGGTGAGGATGACCTTAAGAAAGGCACACAACTTTTAGAAATCTATGCTTTAGAAATACAAATGTACACAGCACAAAAGAATAATAAGAAATTAAAAGCGCTTTATGAACAATCACTGCATATCAAATCGGCCATACCACATCCACTCATCATGGGAGTTATAAGAGGTATGCAATTGTAGTTGGGTAGAACCTGACCTTTTAAAAAATTTACATACTTAAAAGTCTCTTAAATTTTACGGATGTACTGTATAATTTAAGAGACTTTTAATTTAAAAAAATCTGCAGAACAAGTTCATTTTGGATTGTTATAATCAGCATATGATGCATTTTGTAGAATGTGGTGGTAAAATGCATCTGCGTGAAGGAGAGTTTGAAAAAGCACATACAGACTTTTTTGAGGCGTTTAAGAATTATGATGAATCAGGAAGTCCACGTCGTACAACCTGTCTTAAGTATTTAGTACTGGCTAACATGTAAGTTAGCTCAATTACACTATTATACAATCTTTGCTGATTATTACAGTGTTATATCATATACATCACACATCATATATCTTTCTCATATAATTTATAAGCTGATCACGTAGCATATTTTTACAAATAGACAAATTTTCATTTATTATTTATAAGTTTTTAATATTATTTCTAAATAAGTCCAATTTACAAAAGTTTTTCTTTATCTTAGGCTTATGAAATCTGGCATTAATCCATTTGATTCTCAAGAAGCAAAACCATACAAAAATGATCCAGAAATACTCGCAATGACAAATTTAGTGATGGCATATCAGAATAATGACATAAATGAATTTGAGTCTATTCTCAAACATAATAGAAACAATATAATGGACGATCCCTTTATCCGAGAACACATTGAGGATCTCTTACGAAACATCAGAACTCAAGTTTTGATCAAGCTAATTGGTCCATACACTAGGATTCATATTCCTTTTATATCTAAAGAATTAAATATTGATGAGAAAGAGGTGGAGAACCTCCTTGTGACATGCATACTTGATAAGTAAGTGTATATATATAGTTCTAGTATATATATAGAATCTATTAATAGCTTTTCATTTTTAATTTTTACCTGATTATTGCAGTTTCAAATATTAAATAAGTTTATTAAAAAATATGTAACTGAATTAGCAGACTGCAAATGCTATGTAATTCAAACGCGAAACACAACTGAAAATAACATTATTATAGATGCTTCTAATTTTCCAATGTCACTTTTCAGTACTATTAGCGGTCGCATTGATCAAGTGAACTCAGTGCTGGAACTAGCAAGTAGTACTCGCGGCGCTGCGCGATATTCCGCCCTTGATAAGTGGACTACGCAACTCTCCGGCCTTCACTTGGCTCTGGCTAACAAGCTCGCTTGACTTTTGTAACTACCCTTTTTACAATGCCTACCCTCGTGTCATTGGCAGAAGTGGTACAACTTTGTTACTAAAGTTCAGTTTTAAGAAAAATCAGTAGAAATGATGATAGCTCAGTTGTAACAGAACTATTTTATTTTGTAATTACTATCATTATACAACCTGTCTTTACAGTTTTAGGATTTCCAATTAGTATCTTCTGAAGAAAACAATTGAAAAATAAAGTTTAATGAGTTAATTGTAAATTACATCTTTCACCCATAATTCAGTCCTAATAATCTTTAATCATTCATATCTCGGTCCCAGAACTTTATCTTAGTGCTCTTTAAAAAAACCTTTTTAAATACATTTGAATTGTTGCCTTAATAAAATGAGCAGTTTACAGTTCCTTCTTTCATTTAATTAATATTACAGAAATATACAAATAGATCTTTCATTCTTCTCATTAAGTAAAATGCTGTTATTTAAATAAAATTATAGAAGTAGTGGGTTCTCATTGATTAAATAAAACTTTTTTCTACAAAATTAGTAATAATATTTATTAATTAATAAAAAAATCTTATTTAAATAAGTTGAGTACAAATGGACGGAAAATATATCACAGGTTAATATACAACGTCATTAGAAAACTATAAAATTCCAATAAATGATTTAATCATATAAGTACATCATTAATATTATCATACCTCTTAAGAGAACATAAAAAATTGTTATCTAACTAAATGGCACTAGGTCTAAATATTGGAAATGTCTGAATTATTGGAATGTTAAACATTACAAATTCCTAAGGTATACAAACTTATGCCAATATAGTATTAAAAAACTTAGGGCTAAAAGATTTTGAATTGTGTTTTTTTAAACAGGTTATAAAATATTTCTATAGAATTTGAAAAATAACTAATTGAAATGCATAATCAACCTCTTTTTCCATGAGGTTTTCATATATTATGTCTGTTTCTCATTAAGCCAAGGTCTAAAAATGGGGAGAGTACTAGGGTAGTGAGTAGGAGGATGTGCCTCATCATCATCATCACGGAATGGATAGGTGCCCAGCAATATGGGTAACTGTAGTTTGATTTCTTTTTCTAAACTTTTCGGCTCAATAATAAACTGTAATTTAAAAGATTTTTACAATGAATAAACATAATTAATATAAGCTACACTCTCATATATATTGTAAGCAACAAAAATTTATCTTTATTTAAAAATCCTGAATTTATGACAAAAGTTTTACCCTTAAACTTGCATACTATTTTGTGTTCTAATCTATTGAATGTGTTTGTAGATAAAGAAATTTAGATCTAAAAGGGTGCCAACTCTTTTATTGGTTATAACTTATGCTTGCAAAAGTTTTAAAACTCTACTTGGCACTGGATTACTAGAAATATTAGATATTTGCTTTCTTACATTTATTATGATTAAAAGTTAAAAAGCATAAGAAATATGTACTTACAAAGACGTCATACTGCACTGATATTAAATGACACCCACGGAGATTAGTAGGCGGCAGGGGTGGTACATAGAGTAATTCCCCTCGCCACCGGTCTGTTTCACCTGCCCGAGTCTTGCCGTGCGCCAGACGAGACAATTCGCGGACCTCACGCGCTGCCACCTTGCCATGGGCTATGTATTGAATTGTCTGCAAAATATGTTATTGGTAAGAAGCAAACACACTAGATGCTGAACTGATACTGGTACCTGTCCATGGAATTGGAGGAATTAAGTAGTTTTCAAAATATAAGAAACATTTACATTATTCATTTATTTACTAGTAACATAATATTAAATATGATATGTCAACAAGAATTATTAATAATATTAAATGCCATATTTATCCATTCATTCATAAACTACATATTTAAATTCGGTACTTTGAAATACATTTCTATTAAAAATTAATTGTGGAATTTAATTAATATTCTTATTGGTATTATGTAAGTCACACAAAATTATACCTCTGTGAGCGCTGCTCTTGTACACCTTAATGCTGTTCTTGAATTGTTAACAATATGTGCAGATAGCACAACACTCTGCCCAGGTATATATGCACCACGATCCAAAGAAACGCGACAACGGACAGACCCACCACCCACACATCCCACACCAAGCTTATGCTCTACTTCCAACTCAAATTCTTGCTAAAATAAAAAAGAAAACCCTATATGCACTATTAACTATGGTTTCTAAGCCTTTCAAATATTTGTTTTTTTATTTCATAATATAAATTTTTATTTATATTATTTAAAAAAAAACTCAATAAAATAAACTCGAAATGCTTGTGAATTTCAGAAGTTCAGTCTTTTTTTTGACATAATTTATACATGACATGGCTATATGAACATTTAACAGTCTGGAACAAATTACTTACCGCATAAAACAAAATGCAATAATTAGAAACCAATTATTACTTTCACAAATATCTACCTAATGTATATAATTATTTTTGCAATTAATTCATAATGACTCCAAAAATATTTAAAAAAAAATTTATAATTTTCAAGATAAAATAATCTAGATGATATAAAATATAAATGATAAAAAGTACTTACTGACAAAACAGGAGGTTCCAAATTAAGATCAATAGGATTCATAACTATAAAAACTTGTTGATTCTTGTGTGTTAATCCATTTGGCTCTCTTAATGCAGCTTTGCAGAAATACTGTACCCAGCCATGTGTTCCAAGAAATGTGGAAGGGAGGCCCATTGGCAAACCTAATTTAAATGGAAAACTGTGGATGCCTGGTGACAATATAGATGCGCTATGACCTGTGGGTAAGGAAGTTCTACTATGATATAGATAGCTTTGGAAAGACATTAAGATATTCTCATAAAATATTTATTACCTGGTTCCCCCAACAACCTCATTCTAAAATCAATATAATTTTCTTTGTCAAATAATCTCTCATGTCTCCCAGAGCCCACTCTCACTACTCCTTCCCCAATCACATGGAAATGTAATCCTAAAATAGTTTTTTTTTAATTATCAATCTAAACATAAATCATAATATAGTAAAACTATATATGTATCACAATATAATTTGACTTTAGATAACTTATTTTATCTATGTGCTAAAATATTTCATTAAAGTAGTTAACCTTCCACCACCCACATAATATTATATTCATATAATAACTAATTGGTCAAATAGCTCACTTAAAAACATTCCAAAGTTAATATAAAATCATAACAATAAAAGTCATACATCAATTTTATGTAAAACATATTATAAGATTTAAACATTACCAATGTTTGTACTCACTAGTGGAAAATTACTACTATCTTATATACTTACCCAATACAGGAGTGTCATCTTGTAATTCCATCAACACTTTTCCTGATAAGAATTGTCCAGGAAAATAGAGTAAAGAAGTATTATCAAACACTATTAAAAATTTTAACAGCTTTTTGGGCATTTTTGATGGGACGGTTATACACAAATTTCAGATTTCACACTTAAAAAGTCTGCAGATGAAATAATACCGAATTAAACTTCGAATAAAATAGATACTACACGGCAACTAGCGACTTAATCGTATAAGTTTGATAGTAAATGTAAATGTAAAAATAGTAATTGTAAGTTGCTTTACCATTTAGCACACATACATACATAGGATGACATTATTCAAATAACTTTTCATTTCTCAAGTCCACTTGTAGGTGGAAATTGAGAAATACCTGTGAAGGTCAGATGAAACTTCACTAGAAACAATACAAGTTCAAAACACCAAAAATTTAAGATTTTTAAGATAAAATTAGAAATATTAATATTCTACAATTATAGTACCTATTGAATTAACTTATACATTATTTTGAAAAGTAAATGATTAATACTAACACTAAACACACTAAGGGCCGGTTTTTTGATCCGTAGTTAACTCAACTATTGGTAAAAAATCGTTACTATTAGTTAAATATCAGGAAAATGCGTTTTTTGATCCGTGGTAAGAGCATCCAATGGTAAAATATCTAACCATTAGTCAAAAAAGTTAACTACTCAGTATCGGAGGGTTAAAAAGATGGCCGCTGGTAATTTATATACTAACAGCTGTTTGTCACAGAAATCAAACTATGATAAATACGTTTATTACTATCTAATGATGAATTTAAACATATTGAGATACTTTAATTAATGAGACGATGAAGAAGGCGATAATATTATATGAGAATGTGTTAATGAGTGACCAAAAATATTTAGGCAATGTCATCCGCCATTAGAAACCTGGGATGATGTAGATTTTTGTCACTGTTACCCCCTATCGAAGGGAACAGTGCTCTGGATTGTTACTGAAATTGGGAATGATCTTAAACTGCCAATGAACAAGAGTATATATAGACAGCAGCTCATACCAACCTATTTTGCTTCATTACTAACTACAGAACCGCATCAGTATATAATTAAGTATATTACTAATTCATTGTGTTTTATTGCCTATAATATTAACTTATAATTATTATAATTAAATAAAATACAAGAACAAGAGTATATATAGACAGCAGCTCATACAAACCTATTTTGCTTCATTACTAGCTACAGAACCGCAGCAGTATATAATTAAGTATATTACTAATTCATTATGTGTTTTATTCCCTATAATATTAACTTATAATTATTATAAGTTAATATTATAGGCAATAGAATACATAATGAATTAGAGTTAATATTATTTATATATTACTAATAATATTAACTTATAATTATTATAAGTACATACAAGTATGTACTTATACTAAAAACTACAGCTACACATTAGTTAGGGACCTATGATATTCTTTAGGGCTTTTATTACATTTGTGAGTTAGCATCTATCTACTTTATTACAAGAATTTATAAATAAAACATTTGACTTGATTAATAAACTGTTTAATTATAACTTAAATACAAACCATTTTTATTAAAAAAACATTACAAAATTTACATGAAACCCTAAAGTAGCAATTAAATATTTTCTAATTGTTTCTTCTTGCATTTCACCTCAATTTGATGCAACTCTTTTGCTGCTACATATATTTATTGTGCCTTTCTTCCATCTGCTGCATCACTTTTTGGTGCACCTCCTCTTTATGCAGTATGAATTTTTTGGTGGGCCTCTCATTGGTGCAGCAAATGTTTTTGATGCTCTTCCTAAGCATAATTGAACAAATCATCCTCTCTTATTTGTCTTTGTTTCTAAACTCTTTTTTTTATCCGTGTGGATCATAATCCGCTTCCTTGTTTCCAAAGGGTTAAAAGATTTTTTCCTTTTGTTGTAGGACACAGCTATACAAGAATAAATATAAAAATGTGCCTACACCTTCATTAAATGTATATTAAATTTAACACTTCGGTGTCTAGACCCATCTGAGTTGAAAACGTCACAGAGATTTCCAAGCTGCATCTTTTTGTACACGAAAATATGTTTGAACTTACTTATTTGACCGTTGGCTGTTTGCGGACATCGTTATTTATATATTTAAGTATCGTAAAAAGTGTAAACCGTATTAAATCACAGAAAAACAACTTTATTTATATCGTGTTATTTAGATTAATTTGACACTTCAAACTCTTCAAAGCGCAAATAACGAATGAAGATGGCAAAAATGGATTTCATTCACTCAATATGTCTAGTGTTGTCATACAAAATAAATGATCCCCACAAAAAAAGAACCACATTTTTTGGGATGTCATTGCTCTTGGCCCTAAGGGCCAGTTTTTTGATCCGTAGTAAAAAATGGTTTTACCATTTGTTACATTAACTATAGTTAAATGAATAACCATTGGTAAAATCGTAAATGCGTTTTTCAATGCCTTTTTAACTATAGTTAAACTTAACAATTTGTCAATTTGTTGCCAGTGCAATGAGCAATGACATCCCAAAAAATGTGGTTCTTTTTGTGGAGAACATTTATTTTGTATGACAACACTAGACATATTGAGTGAATGAAATCCATTTTTGCTATCTTCATTCGTTATTTGCGCTTTGAAGAGTTTGAAGTGTCAAATTAATCTAAATAACACGATATAAATAAAGTTGTTTTTCTGTGATTTAATACGGTTTACACTTTTTACGATACTTAAATATATAAATAACGATGTCCGCAAACAGCCAACGGTCAAATAAGTAAGTACAAACATATTTTCGTGTTATTTATTCCGGTTTATCTTGTGTTTCGTAATAGAAAGTAATACATTTATGTTTTGTTAAAGGGACCATACTGCTAACTTCGCCAAAAAAGAAACTGCCAAACTGGTGATGCTTCTCAAGGATTACACAGTCGTAACCTGCAAACAACTGATCACTGCAGCAATCTACAAAAAGATGCAGCTTGGAAATCTCTGTGACGTTTTCAACTCAGATGGGTCTAGACACCGAAGTGTTAAATTTAATATACATTTAATGAAGGTGTAGGCACATTTTTATATTTATTCTTGTATAGCTGTGTCCTACAACAAAAGGAAAAAATCTTTTAACCCTTTGGAAACAAGGAAGCGGATTATGATCCACACGGATAAAAAAAAATTGAGTTTAGAAACAAAGACAAATAAGGGAGGATGATTTGTTCAATTATGCTTAAGAAGAGCATCAAAAACATTTGCTGCACCAATGAGAGGCCCACCAAAAATTCATACTGCATAAAGAGGAGGTGCACCAAAAAGTGATGCAGCAGATGGAAGAAAGGCACAATAAATATATGTAGCAGCAAAAAGAGTTGCATCAAATTGAGGTGAAATGCAAGAAGAAACAATTAGAAAATATTTAATTTTCTAATTGTTTCTTCTTGCATTTTGTAATGTTTTTTTAATAAAAATGGTTTGTATTTAAGTTATAATTAAACAGTTTATTAATCAAGTCAAATGTTTTATTTATAAATTCTTGTAATAAAGTAGATAGATGCTAACTCACAAATGTAATAAAAGCCCTAAAGAATATCATAGGTCCCTAACTAATGTGTAGCTGTAGTTTTTAGTATAAGTACATACTTGTATGTACTACTTATAATAATTATAAGTTAATATTATTAGTAATATATAAATAATATTAACTCTAATTCATTATGTATTCTATTGCCTATAATATTAACTTATAATAATTATAAGTTAATATTATAGGCAATAAAACACATAATGAATTAGTAATATACTTAATTATATACTGCTGCGGTTCTGTAGCTAGTAATGAAGCAAAATAGGTTTGTATGAGCTGCTGTCTATATATACTCTTGTTCTTGTATTTTATTTAATTATAATAATTATAAGTTAATATTATAGGCAATAAAACACATAATGAATTAGTAATATACTTAATTATATACTGCTGCGGTTCTGTAGTTAGTAATGAAGCAAAATAGGTTGGTATGAGCTGCTGTCTATATATACTCTTGTTCATTGGCAGTTTAAGATCATTCCCAATTTCAGTAACAATCCAGAGCACTGTTCCCTTTGATAGGGGGTAACAGTGACAAAAATCTACATCATCCCAGGTTTCTAATGGCGGATGACATTGCCTAAATATTTTTGGTCACTCATTAACACATTCTCATATAATATTATCGTCTTCTTCATCGTCTCATTAATTAAAGTATCTCAATATGTTTAAATTCATCATTAGATAGTAATAAACGTATTTATCATAGTTTGATTTCTGTGACAAACAGCTGTTAGTATATAAATTACCAGCGGCCATCTTTTTAACCCTCCGATACTGAGTAGTTAACTTTTTTGACTAATGGTTAGATATTTTACCATTGGATGCTCTTACCACGAATCAAAAAACGCATTTTGCTGATATTTAACTAATAGTAACGATTTTTTACCAATAGTTGAGTTAACTACGGATCAAAAAACCGGCCCTAACTGACGAATCTCAACTTGTTAGTTGTTGACTATTGACTAAGTATTAAGTAATAATTTAACTTTAAACTGAAATGCACAGATTAATTTGAAACTCTATACAATTGAAAATGTCAGTTATTTTCATACAAATTTAGTTTTCGACTATAGGTATAGATAGTCACATTTTACACCAACTGATATCCATCCTACATGAACAATGACCGAATAAGCCTAGTGGCTCCAAGGATACCGAATTCAATTTTACACTTCTTCATTACAGGTTATACTCCTCTAACACAGCTAATAAGTAAACAGCTGATTTTTTAATAATTTTAACCATTCATTCATATTTCATTGCTTGTTGTTCAATGTAAGATAACAATTCATAATAATTACGACATAATTTATAATTATTTAATTGTTTTAAAGAACTAAATTCATATCGATAGGTTGCATTTCATACTTGAAGAAGGTTAAAATATTATTAAATTAAAAACAATGCATCCATTGTTTTTAATTATTATTTAAATACTATATATATTTTATTATTTTCATACTATCCGTCAAAGTCAGGTTCAATTTCCGATCTTATCTAAATTATATTTTATCAGACCGTGAACGAATTACTGTGAACGGTTTACGGTATAATAGTGTGTTATAATAGGTTAAGACTACAGACTCTCTTTTACTATTTAGGGAATAGGGATTCTAGAAGTTAATAAAAGGACACTTGAAACTTGAAAGATACTGAAGAAATAATGTAGGATTGTCATTTGTCAGTTATAATCGTATCATTGAAGTGTACTTATGTTGTCAATTGTCAGTAATGATACAGAAATAGTTAGTAGTTAAAATATGACGGTTAAACAAAAACATTTAAGTAATTTTAGCGATACATAGTTTTTTCAGATTACATTCATTAATACAAGAAATATATATAAAAATCTGAAAAAATGCCGAGTGAAATGATTACTCTACAACTTGGCCAATGTGGCAATCAAAGTAAGAAATATAGCACTATTTATTAACTTGAATATTTTTTAGCAACATATACATGTATTTATTTTCACAGTTGGCTTTGAATTTTGGAAGCAGCTTTGCATAGAACATGGGATATCTCCGGAGGGAATATTAGAGGAATTTGCATCTGCGGGTTCTGATCGTAAAGATGTGTTCTTTTATCAAGCAGATGATGACCATTACATACCTAGGGCAGTGCTTTTGGATTTGGAGCCTCGTGTCATACACACAATAATGAACTCCCCTTACGCAAAGGTATATTTTAATATTTTTTTAAAATTAATACTTATTAAAAGATATATTAAATGTCATTCTGTTAAAAACTTCAGCATAAACGGTACTAATATTGTATCAATTCATATTAATGAATCTATTTTTCAGCTTTATAATCCAGAGAATGTTTACTTATCAAAGCATGGTGGTGGGGCTGGAAACAACTGGGCATCTGGTTATGCTCAGGGTGAGAAATTGAATGAAGAAGTCTTTGATATCATTAACAGAGAAGCTGATGGAAGTGATAACTTAGAGGTAGTTTTTAATAAACATAAATAATGTTGTATAAAAATGTTAAATCTTAGGGAATATTATAGAATGATAGCATTAAAAAATTAAGAATAACAAAGTTGAGGTATACCACTGCTGAAAGGAGAAAATTTGTAATGATATATAGTTTTGATCGACAGGGTTTTGTTTTGTGCCACTCCATAGCTGGAGGAACAGGATCAGGTATGGGATCATACATATTGGAGCACCTTTCAGACAGATTCCCTAAGAAGCTGGTACAGACATACAGTGTGTTTCCTAACTTGGATGAAATCAGGTATTGTGATGTAATTTTACTAAATAAAAATTTCTCTGCTATTATAATAGAGATGTCTATATTTAGTATACTCCATATTATATATAATAATACATGGAAATAAAGCCTGTAGGTTCAATAAAACTGTAAATTCATTATACTTATTACATCTAACTCATTTTATTTATTACTATACTTATTGCTATCCTTACTGCAATAGTTTCTGGAATGCTTCAACCATTGAAAACTAAAATTATTTAAAAATATTAAAATAATTACATTAATAAATAATACAACTTTAATAATTCATACCATTTTAGTGATGTGGTTGTCCAACCGTACAACTCTTTATTAACTTTAAAGAGATTGACAGAAAGTGCCGACTGTGTGATGGTGTTGGACAACACTGCTCTCAACAGGATTGCTAGTGACCGATTGCATATACAAAACCCATCATTTGCACAAATTAATACACTTGTGTCCACAATTATGAGTGCTAGTACAGCTACATTGAGGTAAATTCTACAGTGGGTGTTTTATAAAATATTAGCCCTTTAACACTAATAAAAAAAGGGTCCGTGTACTTATGTACGCGCGTAAGAAGTTATACTTCTTTGGCAATATTAAAAATAGTTTGGCTTTGTTCCACCTCCAGTTTTTGATGTTTCACAGCGATAAGATGAAAACTCTTTTTTTGTATTCAATTTAGTGCAGTTACACTGATTCATCAATTGTTTTTTGTCTCTTTTCCTTATATTTGCTAGATAAAATCAGAAAAATTACATGTTTTGATTAAACAATGTGGTTAATTTTTTAATCAAAACAATACTCGATAATAATAATAATACATACGGATAGTTAACCTCAATTGTATTGAAGCACTTAGGAAGGTTGATGAGCACAGTTTTTTCACAAATATTAATTAGTATTGGTTTAAATATTCAATTTAAATCACTTCTGATTATAATTCAAAAAGCATCGCTAAATTTCTTTGAAAAAATAATTAAAACTCCTTTATTTGTTTAAAAGGTAAATGACAAATGTCATTATGGTCATTCAAAATTGTTGGCATACGAACTTCACGCATATTCTATTTCTTTTTACTTGTAGATTGTCTTATTCCTATCTCGCTCGCGCACGCTATAATCACACTCCTAATTTTGTGTCACGGGTGCGCGCGATTGTAAAATTTCACTCTCATAAATTTTTCATAACGCGCCTAAAGAAGTATAACTTCAAAAATAAATATTTTTATTCTCCTAGAGATTTAGAACAGGGAACCTGGATCCTTATCAATTAAACCTAAAAAAAGAATATGATGTCTGATAAGCCAAAGAAATTTTGAGTTTCAAGCAATTTTTGTCTTTATTTTAAGATTCTTTCCTAAAAAAATTAAGTATAAGAATAATTTGTTATCTAACTTTACTTGCAAGCCCAAAGGCAGCAATATCACTTATATGTTCCATTAAAAAAATAGCTAATACTGTAGGTATCTTAGTTTACAAGTTTTCATTTATACTTGTAAAAAATTGTTTAAGATACACATGTATAAATGTTAGATGGTAAAATGTATTAAGCTACCTAAATGATTATTTTTTACAGATATCCATCCTACATGAACAATGACCTAATAAGCCTAGTGGCTCCACTGATACCAACTCCACGTTTACACTTCCTCATGACTGGTTATACTCCTCTCACAGCTGACCATGAACTAAATACTGTATGTATTTTTTTTTTTAAATTAAAAATGTTAACCATTTGTTCATAACTTCAATGTAAGATACAGATTTAAAACAACAACATATTTTATAATTATTTAATTGTTTTAAATAATTAAAATCATATCAATAGATTGCATTTCATAACATACTTGTATATGTGTAAGTTCCCTCAGTCCAAACTTTTATAATTGCAATACTAATACAAAATATGCACAATGTTATGCTAACATGACTACAGTATCTGACACATGGGTTGTTAGAGAATAGAGAGTGGATCATCTATAATATCCTGAGATGATTATCAATATATTTATTTTTTTATAACCCTTAAAAATATACAGCAGTAGTATTCTATAAAATGATTTATATTTTAGGCTCCAAAGATTCGAAAGACAACTGTGCTGGATGTAATGCAGAGACTTCTTCAACCAAAGAACATGATGGTATCACTGAGCCCCGATAGAGCAAACCAACACTGCTACATCTCCATACTGAATATTATTCAGGTATATTAGTCTTAATATTTGTTATATTAGTGTTGTTGAGACCGAAAATAATAGAAAATTGCATTTGCTTCCTGTTGCCGTAATGGTAGTTTTTCTTTATTTTGAATCATAACAAAAGATTATTTACATTTTAAGGTATTCTTAATTAACTCTATAAATCACTTCATTCACGTTGTTTCAAAAGTTAATTCGAATTCAAAGCCTAAAGTTGTTGGTTATATTTTTAGGGAGAGGTAGACCCATCTCAAGTGCATAAGTCTCTACAACGCATCCGCGAACGGAAACTGGCATCGTTTATTCCGTGGGGTCCAGCCTCCATACAAGTAGCTTTGTCCCGTCGCTCGCCCTATGTCACAGCGTCGCACAAAGTGTCTGGCCTTCTTCTTGCTAATCATACAAATATTTCTTCAGTAAGTAATAAAAGTATTTATTTTACAATAACTTTTTGTCAGCTAATTGATAAAATACAAATTCAAAAAAGTTAAGACAAAATTATATATAAAATTCTCCTGTCACAATGTTCGTTCCCATACTCCTCCGAAACGGCTCAATTCTAATAATTTTTTTTACGTATATTCAGTAAGTCTGAGAATCGGAAAACATCAATTTTTCATCCTCCTACAAGCTGATAAGGGTGGTCCCACCTCTAAAATTTTGTTTTTATTTTTTTATGATACATCATACAAAAATACATACAACCTACAAATTGTCACCCCTCTACGATCAACCCCAATTTTTTTATTATAGTCTATAGTTATTTTTATTGAACTAAAAAATAAATTCCTAGAAATAATATACATGGCAGAACGACGTTTGCCGGGTCAGCTAGTTCTTTTATATATATTTACAGGACATAATATTTCATTAAACACATTCTTGAAATTGAATTGGGCGATTGTTTAACAAATAAAAATATATAAGTGGACAAATCTTTTCTTGGTCTTGGATCTTGATTTAACTGGACTATTTTATTTTTACTTAAAAATATATAACTTGTTTGCAGTTGTTTGACCGGTGTCTGCAACAATTCGATAAACTGCGCAGGCGCGAGGCTTTTATAGATGTGTTTCGCAAAGAGCCTATGTTTCGGGACTCACTGGAGGAGTTTGATGAATCCCGTTCGGTCGTAGATGAATTAGTTCGGGAGTACCAGGCAGCTGCTACACCTGATTATGTCCATTGGAATCCAGGTTGGAATCAAGTTACCCTGAATGGGGCATGGTGCAGACATTCCTTTCATAGAAACAAATTTATTATCAGTTTAATACACGTTTTTCTTTACCTAAGGCATGGCGGTTTCCTCTGGATATATAACACAGAAAGAAATTTCCAATTTAGAACACACAACCTCAGTCAATACTATCATCCAACTAAATTACTAATATCTCTACTTCCAAGACAACTGTAGTAAATGTTTAAAAGCCCTGCCCTTGAAGGACCACATGTTCTATAGTTAGTGTTTTTAATAATGTATGGAAACAAATTGTTATATAATGTATCTTCTTTTTTTTTCAGAAAGCAGCATCTAAGGAAAGCCCAAGTGTCAGTGAATGACATCAATTAGAGACTGACGTTGAAGTATTCTTAAGTTACATTTAACCAGTGCCATTAACTGCATGTCTCGAATTTGTTAATCTGATAATGCCATATGTATATACATACTCATGCATAGTTTTAGGATTTTACTAACTTCTTGTGATATAAAGTATTGAAGCGCATATCAATTTAGTTTGTACAAATTGATAGATCTGATTGTTGGAGCAGGTTATAAAATAAAAACTACATTTTATTACGTTTTTATTTGTATAAGTCTTATTGTAAGTCTAAATCTCAATATTCTTAACATCAATCGCGTGCTGAGTGATAGGATTTTGATATAAATCACATGAAAACAACCTAATTTACAATTAGCTTTCAAAGTCTAGTGTTGCATTTTAACTTATCAAAAGTCTAAAATTCCTTCTTTAAACATTTTATCCATGATAATGTAGTTAAATAATTTTGCAAATATTTCCAAGATTGGATATCATGTTAAGCACCATTTTATGAATGAGCGCTAAATGGGTTAAGGTGTTTCAATGTACCATAAATTTAGTTTTCAAAATATAATTTGCATGGTCGAGAAATATTAAAATAATTATTTTATAACATGACAATAGAGAAATTATAGATGGACTACAATATAGATAAGGCTTGGATAATTCTATTTTGGAAATAGTCAATATTAAAAATAACTGCATTTTAATACAATAAATGGATGAACGAAAATGCAGAATGTATTCATTTTCTCTTTAATATTTTTTATCAATAAACTATGGCAACACTGCTTTTAAATATTACATATCACCTAAAAAGTGACCATGGATGGCAAATGTTAAAAAATTCAGATCACTGTCACATAGGTTACTGTTATCTAGTAAAGGTTAGTAGGCATAAGACATGTAACTTAGCAGGAGGAACTAAATGTTAACAGCACATTTTTATCACTCACCCATTCATGCATTTAACAAACGTTTATACCTAAATATAACAGTTGTTTTTAAACACTTGTCTCATTTCCAACATTACATGAAAACGTGCAGTGTAAAAGTAATTCAGAAAAGATGTCTCATCATAAATAATAAGGCCTCATTGAAAGCAACTTAATGTGATAAACAGTTTTAGAAAAAAGTATCTTTATTAAAAACTGATGTAATTATAATAACATTACATTGCTTGTACCATTGTATTGGTGAACATTGCAATGTATACAAGTGAAGGATGATCACAATGGAGTTGGAATGCAAGTTACACATCTATGAGGCCAGAGCATCGTATCTGACGGCATGGCTAGGAGGTCTGACTGGAGGGTTGGAATTTTGGCTGAATTATTGATGTTTTCCGTAAGGGCACAGTCTCAGGCGTAGGGATAGCATCTCCTGTAGGCAGCTTGGCTGGTGCTGCTGGGGCTTTGAATGGTGCAGCTAAGTTACCAGGCCTTTGCTTTGCCATTTGATAGTCACCAGAATCAAAGAACTTTTGCTGCAAGAATTTGAAAAAAATAACCCCAGTCAATGTCAAATCTTATAGCCAGTTCATTATTCATTTAAGATGAAACCCTTGTTTAATTAATAATTGGTAGCTACTACCAAAAATTCAAATTGTTGAAAATTTGTACAGGAGTAATTCTAGTTGTAGTTACAAAATCTCTATTGTAAGTTGGGACCATGATTATTCTTCAAATTCTTTATTTGCCACAGAATTACTAAACATTATTAATAATTCAATATTATTATTGAGTATAAAAAATACATATTAAAAGTAATATCTACTTACTCCTTTTGCAAGTCTCTTCTGTAAAAAGGCAGAATGTGAACCACCTCTTCCTAGCATTGCATTTGGAAATTTAGCCTTGAGTTTTGCTTCCTCCAATTTTTCCAACTCTTGAGGCTAGATAAAATTAATAAGTAAACAATTGACATGTCTATTAATAAACATACTATATAAATAGAAAAATAAATACTTCAATTAAAGAGAAACATGTAATGTACCACTGAATGTCTCTATTGTAATACTGCTTACAGATCACTGATTAAATTAATCAAGTTTATTTTTAAAGATTTGTATATATGTATATAACTATAATCATAGTTGGTACCTAATTACTATAGCTTCTGTAGCTAGGTGCTTGTATATTTTCAGTAAGGAGTTTTAACTAATAGAAGTAGGGATATTTTTATACAATTACAACTTACATCTTTTGGGGGATCATTCTGGTCTAGTGTGTCACTCATTGTGTATCTAAGAAGAAAAAAAAACTGTTTCAAATTTTAGAGATACTTTTATAAGCATGCAATTCAAGGGGAAACCAAGGTAAGACAATTCCTAAAGAAACATTGCATGCATTGAAAATAAAAGATTACCCTCGATTGCATCCTATTACGTTAAAGAAATAATTCTTAATATCACGAATGCATATACCCACAATAATTAAAAAAAAGTGATTATACATACAAGTATTATTTTAAGAAATTACAAACGAAAATATTCAGAATTTGTTTATTTTAAACTATAAATTACCTGTAACAATGACAAAATAATTTGACGTTGAATAAAATCGAAAATATTATTGTTAGGTACCGAAAAGTTGTTTACCTTGATCGGTCACAAGAAAGACAATCTCGCGTGTCCTTATAAAGTCAACTAGTTACATCTATAAATTGAAGATGAAAAGTTAATCAATTTTGTAGTAAAATAAAGAAAATCAGATTTTCGATTCGACAATGGAACGTCTGATAAATTTTGTACAAAATCGGCCGTTCGTGGTTAGCTTTCAAGTAATCGTGAATCAAAAAATATGGCGTTCAAAACTTCAAACCACAAGTCAATTGTTAGATTAAAACCTATTGACAAATGAATGTCAATTATTGTACTGAAATTCTAATTAGTATTGCTTATGGTTACTAAATAGCCAATAGGGAATTAGGCTGATTTGGCGGGACAACAGGTGTAATATTTATTCTTAAATAAAAGAACTATGAGGCCACACTAATCACTACTATTATATTATATTATAATAACATTTGAATCATTACCAGTAAACCTAATAAATAAATATATTTACTCGAATGGGGGAAAGATAATTATTCTTCCCGCCACTATTATCACAAACACCGATACTGTAATGTCAAGAGAAGAATATTTGTTCAGAAATAACGAAAAACCCATAGACATTGATAATACGCTGAGAGATTTTATAAGATTTTTTCATATATTTCATTGACATAAAACATTTAAAGGTAAACTTTATTTATATTCATAATTTTTTGTCTAAAACCGCCAAGAATTTTTCTAATATTGTATACAATCCTTACTTTTAATACTATTTAATTTTTATCTTTTTGTTTATTCTTGAACGATTACTATTTCCCTCCAAAATTGATATGACATTTGTTATTTTATTCCGGTCCGGTAGTCGTGCTCGTTAATACCGTCTTGCGTTTGGTTATTTCGCGCATATTTTTTCCCTGAATAACACGCAAGCCCATTCTTTACATTATATATATATATAGTGAATTCATATTTAATCTATTAACATGGCTCATTTAGACAAGAAAGAAAATCTTAACGACGGACTAAATAACGTGCACATTAGGGTAAGTAAAGTTAGTTTAGCAAACAAAGTTTTGTAACGTAGGACATGGACATGCGCTTTTTATTCATAAAGTTGTTTTGTTTAGTCTCCTGTGAAAAATGTGCTATCTGCTCGTAACAACAATGTTGTTGAGACAATGGATGTTGAAAAGACGGACAAGGTAGAATTCGACCCTCAACTGGAACCGCTATTACGCGAAAATCCTCGCCGTTTTGTTATGTTTCCTATTCAATATCCGGATATCTGGCAAATGTATAAAAAAGCAGAAGCTTCTTTCTGGACAGTTGAAGAAGTGGACTTATCAAAGGTATTGTTTTGCATTGTTGTGCAATATTTACTTATTTTATTAATAATTTAGGTCACAAGCGAATATTGGTTACTTTGGTCTAAGTTTAAAAGTAAATTTCTATTTGAATAAATTAAGTATGTTATGTTGTACTTTGTTTTCTTTTCTGCTAAACAACTCGATTTTGTTACTAGGATTTGTCTGATTGGGACAGTCTAAAGGACTGCGAGAGACACTTCATCAAGCATGTATTGGCATTCTTTGCTGCATCAGATGGCATAGTCAATGAAAATCTTGTTGAAAGGTTCTCCCAAGAGGTACAAGTGACAGAAGCCAGATGTTTCTATGGTTTCCAGATTGCAATGGAAAATGTACATTCAGAAATGTATTCTCTACTTATTGATACATACATTAGGGACCCTAAGGAGAGGTGAGTTTGCCTTCGCATTATATTACATATATGCTGCTAAATTTTAGCTCTTTATTATATCTTAAATTTTCATCATTTAAGCTACTTGACAGAACTAAGAAATGAAAGTTTTATATTGTCAAAACGAAATTTACTACACTATTTATGTTTTTAGAGACTTCTTATTCAATGCTGTAGAGACTCTTCCGTGTGTAAAGAAGAAGGCAGACTGGGCTCTCCAGTGGATAGCCAGCAAATCTGCCACATTTGGTGAAAGGATTGTTGCATTTGCTGCTGTTGAGGGAATTTTCTTCTCTGGAAGTTTTGCTTCAATCTTTTGGCTGAAGAAGAGAGGACTAATGCCGGGCCTAACCTTCAGCAACGAAATGATTTCAAGGGATGAGGTTTGTATTTTATAGATAGGATCTGAAATACATTTCTAAAGCGAACCACTTCACACACACAAAAACCTGTTAGACCTCTTGATCCCTTTTTTATTATGTTTTATGCAGTTGTGGTTTTTGATAGAAACGGTTCAATATGTTCAATATTTATATATTCATACATTTTAGTATTTCTAATTGTCTGTATTTCTAGTGAACAAATTATAAATTTTGCTGATTCTCATCTGATGCAAGCACCTAAATATTTTATTAATTTACACTATTTAAAAGTCATTGAACTTATGTTTACTGTACCATGTTTTATAGCTGCAAAAACTTCAACTTTATCAGTCATTTAAATGAAAATTATTCCATTGGATATTTAATCGCATTTTATCATTCATGCACATTCATTAGCTGCGTTCTCCCCTAGCTTTAACATAACAAAATTTCCGTTTATTAACACCTGCTATTTAACTGAAACATCTGGTCTCCAGACTTTATTAATTTGAACCTTACAAGTATATAGGATGGATTGCATTGTTTTCATTACTGTTTATTATTTTAGCTAGTGTTGCAGCTCTAAGTGATTCTTACGACTTTACGAAAAGAGTTTGTTTGCAATGATTTAAATGTAGAAAAATATCGTATCGTAAAATATGCTGTTTCCTCCGATGTAATTTTAATTTAGGTGTAGTCAGCAGGGTTTTCCTCATTTGTGATAACAGATAACGCTATCAAAACGTGGCTTATCGCATGTGCTTCTATTATTGTGCGCATTATATTGCAAGCGTGTTACGCTATGTTCTTTATTAACCTTAGTTTCCGATTGATAACGAAATGCACATTTATGTCTAATTATATTAAACCATTAAGAATGAAAGTACTTAAATACATTTTAATATGTTATTTTTTCGAAAAAAAGATAAAAATTACGCAATATTATTGTAACTTTATATATCTCTTCATCATATTTAATATTTTAGTAATCTAGTATATATTTTTTATATCCTTTTTAACGGGTAAAAACGAAATTTATTGTGTAGTATGTTACTGTAACACAGTCGAGCTCATGTTTCACAAGGATGTAATATAATATATTAGCCATTAGGTATATCCTAAGTCTCGGTTTCAGCTAATATCACAATGTTCTTAATAGATAATTATTTCAATTACCTATTATAACATTACAGGGCCTCCACACTGACTTTGCATGCCTAATGTTCAAGCATTTGGTACAAAAACCTCCTGCATCCCAAGTACTGAAGATAATTCGTGATGCAGTGGTCATTGAACAGGAGTTTCTCACTGACGCATTACCAGTAAGACTATTGGGCATGAACTGTGACCTCATGTCTGAATATATACAGTTTGTCGCCGACCGGCTTCTTGTGGACCTTATTGGAGAGAAGGTAATTTGTATCATTATGCCATTACTTTTCTGCCTTGCTTTTTTATTTCATTAGTTTCATTATAAATGTACTTGATGAGTTTGCAATAGAAATGCCTTGATATTATGAACTAAGATTTCCTAGCCTAAGCCTTTTATTAATACAATAATTTTTACAGCACTACCACACTAAGAATCCATTTGACTTCATGAATTTGATCTCTCTTGAAGGAAAAACGAACTTCTTTGAAAAGAAAGTCGGAGAGTACCAAAAATGGGGGGTCATGTCAAACCCTAACGATAATGTGTTCACATTGGATGCCGAGTTCTGATTGTAGACAATTTATAGACTAATAATAGTATTAAAAGAACGAATAATTGACCAAATTACCAGTCCATCTGGTATTTTATTAATAAACTAGGCTAATATTATTTTTGTAAGAGTAATTATGTATAATTTATTATTTAAGTAAGCATAATGGAATTGATTCTCAAACCGTGTTTTGAAGTGAATCTTGTGAGCGTTATTTTGTATGTTTGCAGAGTTTTATTAACTAGAAAAATTGTTGTGATATATACTACTTAAGATTTTTTATAAAGATTATACAATAAATTTATTTATGTCTTATTTTCCTATTCCTGTGATGAGAGGGTTGGTTGGTCTCTCTAGACGTTACGACGTCACTATAAAATCTACTGACTAAATATATTTATAAGTGCTAAAACAACGTGAGCGTCAGAATGGCTGGTCACTAGTCGTGTAGAAGGTTAAAATTTCGTTTAAAAATTGCTTCTATTTGATTCCTACTACAAGACAATTGCTTCCTTAGTATCTTGGGAGAACCACAACAATATTAGTGACCGTCCATTCTGACGTCAAAATGGCTGGTCACCTATCCTATTATTATTAAGTACTCACTATAATGAATTATCGATTATTTCATAGTTCATATTTTGCTTCCTATTTGCTTCTTCCTGGGTTTTCTTTCCTCGATGCTGTACCTATCATGGAATTAAGATATCGAACAATGTTATTACAATTCCCCCCAGCGCCTGGTAAAAATATACAGGCAAAAAATATTTGGTTAAAATAAGTTTAATTATGGTTTATTTATATAAATATAGGTAGGTAGTAACAGAACCCCTAACTATATGTACTTTAACGGTAAAAACTTTCACAAAGTAAAGGAATAACTTTTTTTTATATTGAATACAAGAGAAAATAAAATGAATTGGTATAATACAATTAGGTAAATACTCATTCATTATTTTTTCTTAAGTCTTTTTAATTAATTTTATTTTATTACTTTTTTTTAACGTATACAATACAGTGTGGAATTTTTTATTTATTATAACTTCTTATTATCCTTGTATTCATATCATAGTAGCATTGCCATACATTTTCACGTCTACAATGTGCTTTATAGTGGCCCATTGTACCAATAGCAGGCGGAACCAATTCAATTATTGAAATAAATTCATATTCGTTACCCTGTAAAAAGAGGTTTGTTGGTGCTTCATAAACAGATACAGTTTCATCCGATATTTCAAAACTTATAATGTTGCGTAAGATCAGTTCAAATGATTTGATACCATCGCAAGTTGCTTGACGGCATGGTATAAAGGTGAGTGTATCGAGCATTTGTCTATTCGCTGCTTCTTCAATATCGTTTACATGTGTATCATGTAAACGTAAAACAGACACTTTTCTAACTACTTCATTTATAAGGCAGGTTGAATTAGTGCACGACGCTTTTTCATCTGCACTGTAAATAGAACACGCAAGCAGAATTCCATCAAATATATTTAACACATTACATTCACAATCAACTTCTAGCATATCTCCGTTTTGAACCTTTTTAAAATAAGTTATGGCAATGGATGATCTGATTTTATAAACCTCTTTATTGTTATTTTTACATATAGATCGGATGAGCTGGCACATAATGTGATCACTTTCATGTATTAGTTGACTTATACTACTTCCATCGACGTATGCTAAAGCTAATGCTTGGCATACGGAGTCCAGTTCACAAGTGTTTGTTGTAATTACAATTTCATTAGCAATAATTAATCTGCCTCCATTCGATAGCAAAAACACTTTTTTTTTAGTTTCTGCTTTTCATTTTTGGTTTTTACCATACCGACCTTTCCAATTTTCTACTAAACTTGGATTATTGGAGAAAACAGAATCATCTCTGAATTGAATAGTTCTATCTTCGTTTTTGTTGGAATATTGCTTAAAAATCCAAGAACAGGGAGTTTTCATTGCCTTCCATATTTCTTCTCGTAATAGATGAGCCCACATAATATGTTTTGGTAAACTAAATTTCTTTTTGAGAACAGATTTTGCATTATGCCTCACTAGAACTCGTTTACTGATTGGCTGTATTTTTTCCCATTTGTACAGATCAATTATGAAATCAAAATTTATGGACTTGCTTGCTTGAGCTTGAGTAGGGTTGCTATAGTCATCCTGTATGCTATTACTGTTTCTCTGTTTTTCAATTAACTTGATGTCAAAGAAATAATTAAAATTCTTTTGAACAGATATATAAAGTCCTTTTTCTGTGATCGGGTTAGCTAACACACTTTTTATTTCTGTATACACCGGGTCACTTGCTGCTGGAAAATGATTATTACTTATAAATATGTTTTTGTATGGTGAAAACGCTTTTTTTTGCTAATTTCCTTCCTCTTTTATTATAAAAGAAATGGTTTTTGCAATAAAAAAATTAACTTTCCGCTTGACCGCAAATAACGACAATATTACAAGCGAATACAAAAGACAAGTGTAACAAAAAATAAAACTACCCTCATTTACAATCACCTCGGATTCATCATACCTACCTAGAAAAATAATTGCAAATAATTTTAAATGAAAAATAACTTTATTTTCTATTAAAATAAAAATATTTTATTCCTTTACTTTGTGAAAGTTTTTACCGTTAAAGTACATATAGTTAGGGGTTCTGTTACTACCTACCTCCTATATTTATATAAATAAACCATAATTAAACTTATTTTTTGCCTGTATATTTTTACCAGGCGCTGGGGGGGAATTGTAATAACATTGTTCGATATCTTAATTCCATGATAGGTACAGCATCGAGGAAAGAAAACCCAGGAAGAAGCAAATAGGAAGCAAAATATGAACTATGAAATAATCGATAATTCATTATAGTGAGTACTTAATAATAATAGGATAGGTGACCAGCCATTTTGACGTCAGAATGGACGGTCACTAATATTGTTGTGGTTCTCCCAAGATACTAAGGAAGCAATTGTCTTGTAGTAGGAATCAAATAGAAGCAATTGGGAAGTAATTTTTAAACGACTTTTAACCTTCTACACGACTAGTGACCCGCCATTCTGACGCTCACAAAACAACGTGTATGCATACAAGAAAACATGTCATCACAAACTTTACACATCAATTATATTAGAACTCAAGGAAGGGAAAAATTAAACAAGCCACCACAAAATAGAAACTTAGGCTAAGTTCAGATGACCGCGCGTCGCCACGCGGTTGGAACTTGGAGCATTCACATGACGGTATATGTACGCGCGCCAGTGTGTGGCTTCAACATTGATTGACAATGGACGTGGAGGAGGCAATTTGCTTATGGATTTTATATAGAAGACTGAGACGTCGCAGAAGAAGGCAAAGACGATACTGGGTGCATCCAATTTTAAGTGACAGACTTTCTTCCAGCCTGTTTGTCACTTTGTATCCCGACTTGAGGTTACACGAAGATAAATTTTTTAACCTTCTTTTTATTATTTTATTTGAATAATCTTTAGAATTGAGATTCCAAATTGCATCTCTTTTCTCGATTTCGTCGATAAGCAAATCGATAGGCACAATTTCATCTTCGGTACTCATTTTGCATCGATCTATGTGTCTTTCCGTCTCAAGCCGCCCGGATCAACTGATTACTGAACAGGTCGATACAGGTTTGCAAAAAATGTGCCGCGCGGCCGCGTGGAAGCGCGCGGTTCAAGATCTTGCGCGGGTCGGAGCGCGCCGCGCGTTGGCGTGCGGTACCGCGCGGTAATGTAGACGATAATTACCGTTTATATTGATCTTGTACCGCGCGGCCATATGAACTAAGCCTTAAACTTCATCAAGCCCATGCTGTTGTGGAATAAGTATGAGTTTAATAAAACTATAAATTTTATTGACGCGTTCAATCTTGGCAAATAAAGGATTTTACATTTACAAATACTTGCCAAGTGTTTAGAATACAAATTGGCCTATAGTTAAGTACATATGTCTCCGGAATTATGTACCTACATGTGCTGTTTCTCATACATGGGGAAGGATACCCAATGATAAAGATTGATTGTAAACAATTGTTAGCGGCAGTGACATAACATCGTAACACGATTTTGTTAAGTGTGGAGGAGTTCCATCTGGCCCGGTCCCTTATTTGGATTTAACGATTTTCGAATTTTACTTTTTCCGTGTCTTGTACTCTATACTGTTCAGACAATTGGCTGATTCATAAGAAAAGTTCATATTAGGCTGAGAAAATGTATTGGATTCATATACAGTCGAAAAATAATCCGCAAACATATTACAAATAGGAGCACGCTCAATAGCCACTTTATGGTTAAACCTAACACAATCAGGGAGAGAGGAGCATTTAGTTTAATTTTTAATGTAATTTCAAAATAATTTACAATTTCCAGAATTTAAGTTTGATTAAATATTAGCAATTATTTCGCAAAACATTCTTTTATAAGATTTTTTTACCGTTTGCGTAACAGGGAATAGTTACCAGTCACGGGGATATTTGGGACATTTCACGTGAAGCGGACAGGGAAAAAAAAGTGAGGTTCTGAAAACATAATAAAACAACATTGGTACAACACAAGAACTGTTTATTTTGTAATTTTAACAATTTTACAATGGGAATCTATGGCAGAACTGGTCCTCTTTACAAGAAGGCCTGTGGTTGTTGGAATGAAGCTGTGAAACTTTTTGGTTCCTGAAATGGTGACCGTAGACGCAAACCGGGGTTCCAAAAAAATTCTCTGACGCACTATATCATCATTAGAACAGAAATAAATGGCGGTTTGTTTTAAAGATGATTTTGCCCATTCATATAATCGCATTGGTGTTATAATTGCTTTACTTGGAGGTAACTGTAAACTTGCACGCGCAGCTAAACGTTTCAGATTCCCCCCTAGACCATCGCATGGCCCCTTGCCGTGAGATGTTGCATGAAAATGCAACTCTGCATCTGCATTAAAATCTTCTTTGTAATAAAACAGATTCACAAAGTTAAATCTATTTTTAAAATGTTGGGAAGCCCCGTCAGTTATGTATATAATTTTTGATCCAACTATCGATTTTTCTAAAAGATGCTTGTGTAGTAGCTTTTGGAAAGCATAAAAAGTGGCTGTGTCATGCTTCAGGTCGTCAGAAATCATAACAATGCTTCCGTGTTTTACTTCATTACCGTCTCTGTAGTAAAAAACTGACGTTAGAAGCGTTGCCTGTGCATTATTCCAATGAAAGGATTGAGCAGCATCTTGGACAATAAAACTATAGTTTTCTGCAAAATCACATTGTACGAGAATTTGACCTTCATCGATAGTCTCCTTAACGGCCTGGCCACGGGGATCGGCGGTGCGAACTGCGATGCGGGAGGCGAGGCGACCATTCGCGCGGGGCCGTTTGCAGGCCACGGACCAGTCACGTTTGCCGCCGCGACCAGTAAGGAAGTTCGACAGCGAAATGTCTTTATCGAAATCATCTCGATATTGCTTGGAATGTAATAGCTTTTGGTGCAAGACCTAATATTTGGAGAATTCCACAAGAAGTATGAGAAATTCAGAATATATCCAGAATTATTTTTTTGAGTATACCAAAATGAGTATTGAAACCTTCAATTATATTCTTATGAATATTCAACCGGAATTGGAGAAAAAAGTTAATGCAAATAGAATTTTAAGTTCCGCTGAAAAATTGTTTTTGAGATTAAGGTATATTAAATTAATGCTGTGGATGGCCAGACTTCCAAATAGCTGGTCTAGCCAGTATTTCAGTAACAAAAAACTCTGTATTCATTTTTCGCCGCGACCACGACTAAACTTATTTATTCCCTTCTCTATTCGCCGCGACTGCCGCTCGACTCCGTGGCTTGCACCGTACTGATTCATGCATTTGTTTCGCTCGCCCGTCGCGACGTCAGTCGCCCGCGCGATTCGCTCGGTACATTTCGTCGGTCGCATCGCTGGTCGCCGTTGCGCGTGGCTTGATTAGTACATTGCTATGAGTTTATTTCAGTCGCTAGACGCATCGCGGATCGCACCGCGCGAATATTCGCGTCGGCGAATGTCCCGTGGCCAGGCTGTAAGAGTTTTAATATAAACCGCCTGTTGCTCTGCAATGTAAGCATGAGGTTTCAAAAGGTCCAAAGCGTCACATAACTCATCTACAAAACTATCGGAAGATAAAAGTCGAGTAGATATCGTGTAGCGGTCTGTGCCATCCCATTTTTCAAACTGCAATTCTGTGACTTGATTGTTATCAAATTGTATTTTTAAATACTCTCGAATTGCACTTAAGCCTGGACAAGAATTACAGCGTTCATTTGGCGGTGTCTTAGTAGTCATTAAATGACACGTCAGTGTTGGATTGGGACACATCATCTGGCGAAGGCAATCCTTATAAGATGAAAGTTGCATAGCAGATCCAGCTGTAAGATTAGCAATGTCTCCTCCATTCAACATCAATTTCACGTTTTGATGGTAAGTACAAATACATACCATATGTGTTCCAGAGTCGCCTGGATACATTGTTTGGGTCTTAGTGTAAAAAACTTTGTTAAGCCGACCTTGATGTTAGGGTATTCATCTTTAAACCTCTGATAAAGTTCGTCAATGTTACAGAGAAGGAGCTGTTTCTGTATGTGCGTTCTTTTTCCATCGTCTAATTTAACAGATATAAAATCTTTTTTACCAGGCATTATGCGGCTAATGTCTTCTCGTAGATAAAAATCTTTAACCAAGTTCTCCGTCTCGGCTGGTAGTTTACGACCACCGCGTGGGTTCGGAGAGGATAAGATACCGAACTGATTGACAAGTTGTTTTGCTTTTCTTGCTTGTCGCCTGGACGTTCCAAATTCTTCTGCAAGTTTATTTTCACTCCATGACGTGGGTGCTATTGTTAATATCATAGTCTTCATAGAAGTAGAAGTAGAAGGATGATTGAATTTCTCTTTTAGCTGCTTTAAAATTTCTTCGTTTTCTATGGATGTGTCGGTTTGGGTGGAAATATGTTTAAACTTATCTTCGGGAATAAACGGTTCATCTTCAATGTTTTGCGAAGGTTCACTAGATGTTTGACTGCATTGCACAATGTCTTCATTAGCTACTGGAGGAGATTCAGTCAAAAGTCGTTTCCTGCAGGAGGCACATACGTAAAGATCTTGTGAAAAACTCCACTTTTGAGCTAAACATTTAGATATTTTCCTTAAATTTTTAAATTTTCGATGAAGTACCAAGAGAAATGGGTTAAAACATCGATCACCGTACGGCGCCATTAATAATAACAACTGTCACAGATTAAAACGTGCACAAGTCGCTGAGCGGTTAAAGCAACACTAAAGTTTAAGTTACGAAACCGCTAGGCGTCATATTTCTATCTCTTTCTTGTAGAAGACAGTTTGACTCTATCTGAGACAAAAAAGTACTACACGTTACTAACAGATGGCGCTATTAGTCACGTTTCGCAAATAATAAAACTTTTCTACTGCTCCAAAAACGTTTTTTCTTTATAATATATTATTAACTTATATTTGTATTATGTAGTTATATTTATATTAATAAAACTTATTTCATATCATTAAATGAGGTTAAATATACGCTAAAACGATATAAAATATTAATAAAGTTGTAATATCGCGCAAACTGCTCAACCTTGCAAGCGCTACATATGACGCCCCTTGCGACGCGGGTGTATATTATTCAACGTATCTCCTAAACTAATAGAGATCCCATTTTAAATTTTCTAGTGTACTTTCATTATCATTTAAGCTATACTTAGAAAGAAAAAAAAAATGGTCGAAGTGATTGTAATTCTGGTTTGAAAAGTTTACTTCCGGTTTTGGCCATTAATTTTTTTTAAATTTTTTAATTTTTTTTTACTGTCAAAAAGAACAGTATATTTTTAATATGTATCGCTATGTAAAATATTTTATAGTAGATTTGTTATATTCGAAAAAATACTTTCGAAAAATTGTAGTACCAATCAACGACAATTCTTTTGAAACCTATAACTTGGTAAATATACACTATACAAAAAAAATATTTTGCGTACACATTCATACCTACTAGAAGTACAAATGGGCCGAATGTGGTCGATTTTCAGAACCTCACTTTTTTTTTCCTGTCCGCTTCACGTGAAATGTCCCATTTGTCATTTTTAAATTTTGTACGGTATTTATTTTTTTCACACAAATATTTAATTACTGAGTCATTGAACCGGGGTAGTTGAGGTACGTTTTCTTTTAAGCGGTGAATTATTAGCGATGCAAGAGTTCGATGGTAGATTAAATGTATTAATATTTTCATTTACATAAGTTGATGAGAGTAATGGAGTACCAAAAAAACTAAAGACCAAAAATTATCTTCTGAACCGTAACTATAATATAAAGTAGGTACCTAATGCTATTATTTACTGTAAGCTTAATCCTCTCAAGTCAAGTCAAGTCAAGAAAGTCTCAATGTTATCTAAACTATTTATTGTTATAGTTGGTGAATGTTCGTTTTTTCTCATGTAAATATTGCCATTTCTTATCCAAACAAATGTATAGTTAAGTGTTTCAGCGGCTTTCCTAGCTTCCTTATGAATAGCCCTACCTTAGGTAGTGTTAGGTGTTCAACATCATAAATAGGTTTTATTTCTGCTGTTATACCAAAAACTGATGTGTTGAGCCTTTGAGATTGATTACCCTCGTTATATCTATGAGCTGCGGATAGGACAGCATCACGGTGTTTAGGTGATATCAGAGTTATCACTATAGTTGCGTGGGCGATCTGTTACCTATTTCTCGCCGCTTTCTCGTACTCCCACAAGATACTACGCTTTCATCAGAAATATTTAAACCTATCTTGTCAAAAAGCGCTTTAATAATAACCAGTAAGTTTTCGTTTCTCCTTTCAGGAACAGAAGGAGGTTATAGCTATTGTGCGATAGTGGGACGGATCAGAGCGATCGCCTTTTTTAGTGATCCGGTGTATTGAAGCGGTACCGCAAAAGGCTAGAACCAACTCTGCAGCACAATTCGGCAGATGCCATCTGGCTCGCTCGACTATTGAATGTCCAAGGACAATAGAGGATAGCACGTTGATGGAATATAATTTCACACCGCAATAATACCCAGAAGATCAGCCTCATCATTTCTCCTTCGTGGTGTTGCCTAGCGAGTCATCGTCCCTGTGCAGTGGTAGAATGGAGGGCTGACAGAAATTACCTTGGACAGGTTTGGCAAAAGACGAGAAGGCTCCAGTCCCCGAAGGAAGGAGGGCCCATCTCTCGCCAATTCTGACAATGTGCTCTGACTTTGCCTTAGCGATTTCGCGTTTGAAGGCCATGGAGGCGGAGTTATATTATTATTTAAGTTCGCCGATAGTCGCATCACAGGGTGTCGCCGCTTCTACACTGGCTTTAAAGCAATCTCCGCTTTCGACGCAAGGCCGCCTTGCTAGAGCGTTAAAACCAAGACTTGCCACCGCCGAGAGTGGAATAATAAGTTCCATACCCTGTAGGACCACCTCGGCGACAGAGTCAGTAACGGGATCTGGAGTACCCGAAAATACTATACATAATTAAATAAACAAATAGAAAGGAGTAGCATAAATAAAAGAAAGAATTAAGAATATTAATTTATTTAATTGCTACAATAGTCTAGAGCTCCTAGCGCTTCTTGTCTTGCGCCAGGCGGCGCAGAAGGCTGTGACCTGAAAGGAATGTTACAACTGCAAGAGGCGCCAAATAACGCAGCGTCGCGAACATCGAGAGCTGCAGCCAGAATAAGCCGTATAGCGCCAGGGAACCTGTGGAATACCATTTGTTATATGTTAATGTTCTTTGGGAATGTATTATATTTTAACTAATTGAGAAATCGCGGAACAAATTTGTCTCTGCATACATGATCATAGTTTCTTGGAGTAGGGGGTCAATTGTTTCCACAACTTCATTTAGAAGGCACAGCAGACTTATCACTCTTACCCACTTAAGGAGACGAGCAACGACATAGATAAACGTGTTCGTCCCTCTTTAAGGGACGATTAATAGAGAGCAGTGTTGGCCTAGTGGCTTTAGCGTGCGACTCTCATCCCTTAGGTTGTAGGTTCGATCCCCAGCTGTGCACCAATGGACTTTCTTTCTATGTGCGCATTTAACATTTGCTCGAACGGTGAAAGAAAACATCGTGAGGAGACCGACATGTCCTAGACCCAAAAAGTCAACAAAAGTCTTACTTGCCTATTAGATTTAAAAATGATCATGAAACAGATTCAGAAATCTGAGGCCAAGACCTAAAGAGGTTGTAGCACCACTGATTTTCTTTTAATATAAGACTTCAATATTTTTTCAGTTATCCGATCAAGTAATATTCAGAATATCTGATATATGACCGAGGTCATATAAAAAATTGTTGAACATTACCTCCGAGCCCAACATGGAAGACGAGCGCAGCCGGTGTAAAAGGCAGGTTTCCGAAGTTAATTCCAATCCTAGCCCAAAGCAGCAGCAAGAGAAGCAGGGGGGCGGCACATGCGGCCGCGAACACATCCGAGACCAGTCTTGGGGGACGCGCGTCTGGTTCACGGAACTTGTGAGAAATCTCAGGCAATGGTCCTCTGTTCACTGAATTGGCCCGGGATTTATCTTCACCTGCAAATATCATATCTCAAATGTTTACTGCTATAAGAACAATTAGATCACAATTAGATACAATCCAATCTACTAATGCTTTAAAAACAAATGAGCATTTTTGAAGTGAAACTTCTTTAGGCGCATGAGGTTAAATTTTTTACGGATGAAACGCAATAATAATAATATTAGCGTCACGAAGATGTGCAGCGTTTTTGTCGATGAAATGGGAGAGAGCGATTGAGAGAGAGTGAGAAGGGCGAATTACCTTATAGAAATTATATTTTTGAAATTAAAATTTCATAAAGAGTATTTATGAAATATTAGTATTTTATATTTTATGCAAAAAAAAATGTATTAAAAGCTCAAATGACGAATTGTAAATTAAAATGCCACGTGTTTTTATTCACGAAGAAATAAAGTAAAAATATTAAATTTATAATTTGTTTTAATTTTCGACACTTTTAATATTTTAATGACAATTAAATTCCTAACATATTATCCTTTTTACCTCCCTCTAAGTCTCGGAAATCTAAAGTTTTAGATTTGTATAAATATGAACAACAGTTAAAAATTAGTTTGCAGTTGTCCCACCAACGACGAGAAAACTACTAACTATTGGCTATTTTCTCGCTCAAGAAACGTACAATAGATATACGAGGGGAGGTCCAAAAGTTCGTGGAATGAAAGGGTTTTAGTAAAAATGAAACAGTAAATTTATTTTTCCTTTTCAATATAATCACCCTTAAGCTGAATACATTTATTAGATCTATGAATTAATTTTTCTAAACCATCGTAAAAATATTTTTTATCTTTTCCCTCAAAATGAGCCAAAATTGCCTCCTTTACCTCATTGTCGTCGGAAAATTTCCTTCCCCTTAAGTCTTTTTTAAATTGGGGAACAAATAAAAATCACTTGGGGCCAGATCTGGACTATAGGGTGGGTGGACTAGTGATTCGAAGCCATGCGTGTGTAGAGCAGCCATTGCAACTTTGCTCTTGTGAACCGGCGCGTTGTCTTGCAAGAGCAACACACCCTTGGTCAATTTTCCCCGACGTTTTTCTTTGATGGCATCCTTTAATTTTTCTAGTATTGTTGCGTAGTATTCTCCGGTTATGGTCCTGCCCTTTTCTTTATAATCAATCAGTATTATCCCCTCACAATCCCAAAAAACAGTAGCCATCAACTTTCCAGCCGACTCCGACACTTTGAATTTCTTTGGCGGTGGTGTCCCCTTTTTATGCCATTGCATGGACTCTTGTTTGGACTCAGGCTCGAAGTGATGAACCCATGTTTCATCGCCGGTAACAATTCGCTCCAAAATCGATCCAGGATCGTCGCTACACAACTCCAAAAAATGTTTTGACGCTTCGACGCGCTGCTGTTTTTGAAGCGGCGTGAGCATTCTCGGTACCCATCTTGCACTGACTTTTGTCATACCCAGGTGGTCATGTAGGATTCGCAAAATTGTGGTATCTGATACTCCAACTAATGCAGATAACTGTTTTTTCTTCAAACGGGTGTCCTCCAGTACAATTTTTTCCACTTTTTCGACGATGTCTGATGTGGTGGCCTCAACTGGCCTTCCTGAGCGGGGGTCGTCTTCAATCGACTCCCGGCCATGTTTAAAAAGACCATGCCATTTGTAAATCATTGATTTACTAGGGCACTGTTCCCCTTAAACAGTTTCCATTTCATTCAAAATGGTCTGAGCGTTCTTTCCTTGCTTGGTAAGGAATTTAATGACAGCACGGTGTTCAATTTTCTCCATAGTTTCAGTTTTCTTCCGGATTGACGTGTTTAGCAGGCGAGTGTTCGTAAACGAATGACGCAATAGGGCTGAAACTCCATTTATATACTAATTATGAGTCCCCAATTAGTATGACACTAAGCGAGCGCCCCTATCCCCACTCCATCCCCTCCATTCCACGAACTTTTGGACCTCCCCTCGTACTTTCCGTGTGAACAAAAGAGATGCATATACAAACAGTTGATCGCTGACTGTTCACACTGCCGGCGAGCACTCGCTTCACTAGTTTGTCGCTGGGCGACAAGAGCTATGAAAGATAACACTCGCTCGGCGATTAGAACTCACGCCGAGAGAGCAATACACGTTTTTTTAAATATGAATATCGAAAAATCATTTGAATTATCATTGTTATCTAGTTCAGACGACGATGATGATGAATTGTATGATGCGAGTGATGCGAGTACTCGCCCGCTCACTCGCACACTCGATTATAGCCGAGCTACACAAATATCGGAACTACGCACTCTCTCCCCGCGTCTAGCTAACTCGTTAATCGTTGCCGGTGAGACAAGTGCCTAATCCCAAAATCTAAATGTATCATTGTATATCACAGTAAATGAAATTCTTGCCCTAGTAGAAGTCAATTGACATAATTTTAGTACATGAATCATGTTTGGAGAAATGTATATGTTATGTAATGGAAATATTTGCAATTACCAATAGCTACAGCATCCTTTCCAAAGTTAAATGCGATCTCCCCGAGGTCCCAAAGCAAAGGGTTGGAGACAGCACTATCACCGAGGTAGACGCTTAAGAAGTGTCGACCTGATTTCTGCTGAACCAACTTTCCAACAGCTGCTACATTCTGAAAACAACAATATTTATTTTATCAGATAAAACCATATTTTAACCAAATAACACAAAACCGTTATTTCTTACTTTTTTTCAAAGTAGCATACCTTTAGTTAAAAAGATATAAAAAATTATTAACATGGGTTTTAAATAAGAATATATGCCAAGATGAGAATAAACCCATACAAAATAGCGGTATAACATGTTTCAGTCTAAATGCCAACAAACTAACCTAACTTAAATATATAAAAATAAATCAGTGGCGCTACAACCTCTTTAGGCCTTGGCCTCAGATTTCTGAATCTGTTTCATGATCATTTTTAAATCTAATAGGCAAGAAGGTGATCAGCCTCCAGTGCCTGACACGTGCCGTCGACTTTGATGTTTTCCTTTACCGTTCCAGCAAATGTTAAAATGCGCACATAGAAAGAAAGTCCATTGATGCAAGCCGGAGATCGAACCTACGACCTCAGGTATGAGGGTCGCACGCTAAAGCCACTAGGCCAACACTCACCCTAACTTAGCAGGATTAAAAATAATATAGATATAGAAACACAGACTTAATTAAAAAATACTTGAAATAAACAGATACAATTACTTAATTTAACTGTCACTCACCAAGTCAACCTTATAAGCCTTAGTATTGTCAGGTTCTGCAACAAAGATTGCCTCATCATCTCCACTGGATGGAGCTACTCGCACAAATGCCTGCTGAACCAACACTGGCTTGCCCCATTTGTCTTTTACACTGAACTTCAATGATACCCTGTGTTAAAATTGTTCATCAAATATGTATAAAAATATATGAATGACAAATTAAACTTTTTTAAAGCATAATAGGATGAATATATGTATAATTTTTTTTATTTAACTTATTATTTTAAATGCTTTACAGCTCAGTTATAGTCAATATGTTATCACATTAACCAAAGACAAATTATAAATTGCATAACTCATATTCAGCATCAACTCATTTTTAATTTCATATTAATTTCAGGTTCCAGAATTCTTTCTACCTTGTTAAACTTTCAAATGCTGGTTAACCATTTTACTGGTAATTTTTTTGAATATACAAGTCCAAACTGAAAATATTATTGTTAGTCTTTTAAGGAAATTATAAAGAAACATATATCTTTTTTCAAGTATAAAAGTAATGCAGCTCAGTATTGAAACTATCACAGTACTTTAGGTAAACACATAATAAGCCAGATTAAGAGTATGATAAAAAATCTCAAGAAGCAATTGAGAGTTACTTACTTCTGTAAATGATCAGCCTGCAGCACATCAGTAAGCTTATTGGGGAAGGCAAGAGTAGTCACCTTGGGGCTGGTTGTTCCATCGACATCTCCAATACCAAGTTCCAAATTACCCAATTGTATTTCACCCAACACAGCAACATTAAAGTTAGCTGACTTGGTTCCCGCAGCCAAGGAGATTTTGTACATGCCATATTGTGTCTTAATCTTATTTAGATTGAGGATGTAAGTTGTTTGATCATTTTGTTTCTGAGTTAAAGGTTGTTTGGAAAGCACAACTACATCATCAGCCAGCCTGGTGCCAGATTGTGCAACAACTTCCTCTGGTTTAAGGGATGGAATTGCTCTGCCAATAATGTCAGTAACAGAGAACTCTATGGTGTCTAATTCCGAGGTTATGTACTTCCTGTCCTTGAATGCTACACTGATTGGGGTTGGCTGAAATATAACAAACTACTATTAGACATTAAAACTTATGACATGCAGAAACACAAGTATCTAACAACTACTGAGATATATGTAGGTTTATATATTATGAGGAAATTGAGATAGATATATTTTCAAAGAGTCATCAGTGCCAAATTGTCAATGTAAATTGGTTAGATCTACCTGATCATCAGCAATTGCTACAGCAGCTTCTAGTAATAGGGCAGCCCCACGGGGAGTGTTCACAGAACGCCTAGACACCAAGTATGTGGCAAACTTGTAGCGCTGGTCTAAAGTCAGTGGGGCTGGCTTCTTAAGGCTTTTGTATGATCTGTAAAGTTTAAAAGTTAGCATTAACAGAACAAAGCTGTCAAATTAATATTACTTCTAGAAGCAGCAAAATGGACAATGAACAAAACTGCTAACAATTTCCATGTCAAGTATTTAATTTTAAAAACAGTAAAGTTAATTAATTAAGTTTTACCTGAGAATAGTTGTTAAAAGGAAGGAGGTAACGGGGAGGCCACCTTCAAAGTGAAGAGATTTGGAGTCACTCTCGTCAGCTGATAACAGGACCCCTTCAGAGTGCTGTGCTGTCCAAGCTTCACATCCCATATGCTCACATAAAGCAAACACATATCCATAGCTGCAATAAATGGGTTAAGTTGAATATTGACCATTATGATGTTTCTACAAATTCTGTATTTATCCTACTTTTATATATTATGACAAAATTTTATAGGTGCTTACTTAGCTGGTGTGTCATCTTTCTTCAATAATTGAATTAGATTTTTAAGGGCTTCTTCTCTTTCAAATGTTTGACCTTTTCCAATTGCCTTAAGAGAATACACTGCATGGTACATCTCTATAAGTGAAGCATCTTTTTTGTCTAGTGCCCTCACTGGGGCACTTAATACATCAGGTTTTAAGAAATTCTGGCACCCAGAAAGGGCAGCAGCATTTGTAAGGTAGAATATTTGTTCAATGTTATTTAAATCATAGTTTGCTGATTTAATTACCTGTAACACAATGCTAATTTAGGATTGTAAATATAATTAAAAAATAATATGTCAAATGTGTGTAATGGTAACAATCTTGACTTTAATTTTTGTGGAGTCGGCCTAATGCTTTAAGCCTAGATGACATGATCAAAGTTTCCTAAGGTGGAAATTGTATCATGACAACCAAAATCAAAGTATTACTTAACATCCAATCTGAAGATACTGCAATCACAATCAAATTTTGTAATTTTTTTTGATGTTCATGTGCAAAAACAGTGATAAGAACTAATAGGATGGGCCAAGTGAACAGCTATTAAGTTAAGCTAGTAGTTTACACTTTTATATTATTGTACACTTACAAGAAGCTTAGTTATATAAAGCAATTCAATTTATTAGACTCTCATTTATAGCAGCTTCATATTAAATAAATTAAACAAGAGTTTTCACATCTAACAATACCTGGCAAATATCAGGAATTTTGGCATTAATTTGTTTCAGTCCTTTGACTGAATAGTAAATAGAGCTCAAATCTTTACTTCCAAGACCTTCTTGTAATATGCCTTGTAGTCTATTAACATCTATTGTCCCTTGAAGTATTGCAGAACACGCTGCCACTATGCTAATGAAAGCCAAAGCTACTGAAAATATATAAACTTTTTTATTCCATAAAAAGCAACGTGATTATATTGGTGCCGTAGAACCTTTAGGGGCAAACCAGATTTCTTATCTTCGCGTTTTGAATCGGGTCAATAATTGGGATGTAAAAGCTAGTCCTGTTTTATCTCCTAAATTAAAAAGATTAAGTTAACTTTTATAATAACCTCAGAAACTACACCAACAAATAAACACCGCCGGTAGCATGACGTGTCCCGAAACAGTTACAATTAATCATAAGCATAGGTATATTTGGTGTGTAATGGTTGAAGTTATTGAACTATTTCAACAATCATAAATTATTAGTAACACTTGACTACTTTGTCATTGTTATATTTTAATATTTTGTACGTAAACCAAGTTTTCGAGAACAGCTACACAGCATTTCACTTCCTAAAATTGGATAATATTTACCTTTGAAAATCATTTTGCAGTATTAAAATACGTTACTATAACAGTATTAATTCTTATTTATTACTTAATCATCTAAATTTACTTAATTTTTACAAATTTCAGCCGGCATAAAAATAATTCCGTTTCTCTGGGTACTGGGTAGTCGATCAGAGAACCGCAATAGCTGTCACTAATCACTTATTGAATATAGAGTATAGACAAGGTGTTGTCGTTTACGTCTGACATAAAAAGACGACGTAGCAAATTGGCTATGGAACTTTCAATATCTAGAGAGCAGTTTGATGTTTCTATGGAATCGCCATTCACCACAGAAAATAATACTCTATTGTCAATACATCTTGACAATTGACTGACAAAAGCAAGACATTTCAAAATTCGAGTTCAATATTCCGAAATCAAAAAGGGCTCGTTTCACGGTTTTCCGTACTGTGCAGATTTAGTGTTCACTTGTTTTAATTAATTATTGAAAATGGCTGGAGCTGTAGCTAAAATACCGTCGTTAATTAACAGTATGTATTTGTATATCTCATATCAAAACACTTAAGACATACGTTATGTAATAACGCAGGTTATATCTTGATTCTTCTCTTATTCAGGGATAATTTTAAATTTATCTTATTTTTTACAGCGGCCCTCTCTGAAGCTAGACCTAAATTTGCAATTTTTATGAAATACGCTAAGGTCGAGCTTGCACCTCCTAAGCTAAACGAGATCCCTCAAATAAAAGCTGGTATTAGTAAGTTGTTGTCCAGTTTTAAGTCTGGTGCATGGAAGCAGCAAACAGTTAAACAGGCTACTCTTAACACCCTTGTTGGAGCTGAAGTGCTTTTCTGGTTCTATGTTGGAGAATGTATTGGAAAGCGTCACATTGTCGGATACAATGTCTAATTTATTCCAACTTATGCACTGTAGATATTATGTTCAATTAAATTGCTGAAAAATCCATAATTGTATTATTACTTTGTGTATGAACATTTAAGAATAAATTAAATGTTTATTTTCAAAAATAAAAAAACATGTACTATTTACAACTATTTAATACCTAACATAAATATAATTTATAATGGTGCACACTGTTCCATAAACTTGAATGGATTACAAGCACTAGTAAGCTTAAGTTCTGTCTCCATGTCCTGTGGTCCTCTTAGCCAAAGCCTGTCCCTGTAGTAACTTGCACAAGTGAGAAATTCTCTATCAGTGTAACGGTCAACTTTTATTGGAACAAAAGGATCTAAGTGATCAAAGCCCTGAAAAATAAGTTAATAATATGTTATGCCTCATACTCTACTAATAATAAATTAAAATTAATTTATATAATATATTTGTGTAACCTATGAAATACTATTTTACACATATATATTAAACAAATTACAAACCTTTCTATATAACAAATGTTGTGGCAGATAATTCTTAGTGTCATCATCAGGATTTGCGATTGAATCTGTGCTAAGCACCATCACAGCATTTGTCTAAAAAATTTGTTATTTTAATGGAAATACCAAACCAATAAGATATTTTAAAGAACAAACTCTTAAAATTTTGATTTTTAGAGTTGGTTAGGTAAAATTAAACTTTACCCAGTTATTTTTGGTAAGTTCCAAAATAGACGTAGTCAGTGTGACCTCTTCTGGTGCAACCTTTTTCTTTGTGGAAGTTTTAATACGAGTCAGAGGATTAAAGAATCCATTGTACCCATCCACGGCAACAAAGGTCTTACACCTAAAAAAGCATCTATCAATTTTAAGCATTATACAAGATAGACAATACTATTATAGTTTTCATTTATGAAATTTAAAAAAAAACCGAAGTCCTATGAACTTTATTTTTTATATATTTAAAACTCAATAATCACTTAACCAATTTTAATTAATTTGGCCTACATAATCCTACACTACTATTGTTAGCATAATTTCAATAAACATTGCACCATTCCATCAGCAAATTTATGACTGACTAAAAATTGTTTCACGAAACCCTTTAATACAATTTATTTTTATGAATAAATGTATAATTGAATGGACTATAAAATATAGATTGAATTTAAGGCTAAAAAATCTTCATTTAAGTTTATTATAAGCAAATATCATACTTTTTACAATTTGAGAGGAGTTTAACTTCATTTACAATGGCATCAACCACATCACAAGCATATTTTACTCTTGCAATGCCCAGTTCAACAAGTTCATGTAATGGTGCACCAGCTTCCGTTTTCTCTCTTTTACTCCAAACATATTCCTTTGATACAATGAACTGTAAAGTCAAATTTTCTGTTATTATAAAACAAAGCAATAATAAAAAAAAAGGGTGCGTGTACTTATGTACGCGCGTAAGAAGTTATACTTCTTTGGCATTATTAAAAATAGTTTGGCTTTATTCCACCTCCAGTTTTTGATGTTTCACAGCGATAAGATGACAACTCTTTTTTTGTATTCAATTTAGTGCACTTACACTGATTCATCAATTGTTTTTTGTCTCTTGTCCTTATATTTGCTAGAGAAAAATTACATGTTTTGATTAAACAATGTGGTAATTTTTTTAATCAAAACATTACTCGATAATAATAATACAAACTGATAGTTAACCTCAATTGTAATGAAGCACTTAGGAAGGTTGATGAGCACAGTTTTTTCACAAATATTAATTAGTATTGGTTTAAATATTCAATTTAAATCACTTCTGATTATATATAATTCAAAAAGCATTGCTAAATTTCTTTGAAAAAATAATTAAAACTCCTTTATTTGTTTAAAAGGTAAATGACAAATGTCATTATGGTCATTCAAAATTCTTGGCATACGAACTTCACGCATATTCTATTTCTTTTTACTTGTAGATTGTCTTATTCCTATCTCGCTCGCGCACGCTATAATCACACTTCTAATTTTGTGTCACAGGTGCGCGCGCATCGTAAAATTTCACTCTCATAAATTTTTCATAACGCGCCTAAAGAAGTATAACTTCAAAAATGAATTTTGAAAATAGAACTTTTTACCAAATGTTTTGAATGTAAACAAACTACTAAAAATAAGATTGTCCATTGCTGAATTACTCACTTCTGGTGACTTCAATAAGTGTTGATTTTGAGTTTTAAAATGCAACAACCAAGCAGCTGCATCAAGTGGTAGGTCTACAAGCCCTTCACGGGTCAGTGAATTTGCCATTTCCTTATGGCGTAAAACCCGTCGCAACCAGTCCGATACTGAAATTTTTTTATTTAGTATTATACCATGTCAAATATCATGTTATAATGCTATAATATGTCTTACCCCAAGGAACATGAACAATCAAGTATCCCTCTTCAAAAGCATAGTGCAATAAATGAGCAATAGTCATAGATTTGCCTGTTCCATCCTCACCATCTATTTCGTAAAATAGTCAAGGAAAGTAAGTAAAAAGACAATAAGTAATACTTCAGCTTTTTCTTTTTATAACCTGCATCTCAAAGCACTACTTACTCAAGACATAGTTTTCTAAAAGGAATTATTGACTCAATATTCTTAGTCAAATGAAAACATTCTACCTGAACTCTGAAGATTGATTTCAGAATAAGCATACACACTACAAAATAGTATCTATTAATATATAAAAAAATATTTTAAAAGGATACATAAAACATATCTGATGGCAGGTTTATTTAAATCTGAGACTTTTATGCAGTTGATTATATCCAATGCAGGTTGTCGCACCATTATAGCAGTTTCAGCAAAGGTTTTTGACTGCTTTGTATAAGACTTAGGAAGTCCACCATGACCATAAAGTTGTTTACATAAATCTTTGTTTACTGTATAGAATAAACCGAATTGATTATCAGTCTGTTGAGTCTGAAATAAGACAAAACTAAAAATAACAATCAATGTAAATTGGTATAAATAATACGTTTGTTAAATAAATTAAATACTCACGGGGGAAGATTCCGTTGTTCTGAAAGTAACAGCCTGACTATAGCGACGACATGCATACCGTAAGTTACGGGATAGCATTATGGTATTTAACTTATTTTTAATTATTAACTTCGTTCTGAAGAAATACAAAAAAGTAAATAAATTTAATATTATTTTCCTCAATTTGAGGTTATAAATTAGAAACACAGACTATAATCTTACTGTGTTGAGTGTTAGTTGTTGGTCTGACGTTATATTTTTGACATTGATATTTAAAAAAAAAGGGTGCGTGTACTTATGTACGCGCGTAAAAAGTTATACGTCTTCTTTGGCATTATTAAAAATAGTTTTTGATTGCATGCAAATAATTAATTACAATTAAATAATCAAAGACTGGAAAAGGAGTCATTATAGTCAATAAAGTTCAGTTTACATTTGAAAAATTAAATAAATAAATATTTATTATTATTGTCTTACATTAAGTGTAACATAAATTCTATTAATATTCGAATGTTGTTTTTAAATTATGTCCAATGCCGTAGCATCTTCCGTGGGCAACTTCATTCTGTTAATTTTGTGTCACGGTGCGCGCGCATCATAAAATTTCACTCTCATCAATTTTTCATAACGCGCCTAAAGAAGTATAACTTTAAAAATGTCCGCGCCCTACTTTAAGACTAAATTTATGAACGTATTTGATACGGAAGTCATAGTTAGTACTAAGTTTGCACTGAAGCTTACCCAGTTTTCAGATTGTAGTTTGTAGATCTTCAATTGAATAGTTGTTCCATTTGAACTCACTAAAGTTCAGCGTCGCCTAATCATTTTTAAGGTAGGTATAATTATTAAAAGAAATGTCATAGCGATAATTTAATAACTTAAAGACATACATTATACACTGTTTTTATGATTTAGTTAAATATGTTTCTATAAGACCGCACGGCCTGCGTGAAACCACGTAAGGGCGTAGGTACACCTATAGACAATAATTTAAGATGTCCGGCTTCCGCTAAATAATTTTCTTGTATTAAATCGTTGATCGCTTGTTCTGTGGTGTACAGTGATGGTTCCTCAGCTGTTGCACCAAGTATGTAGTTTATCATATGGGTGTACAACGGCGTCGAAACTAGTGTTACGAAAAGCCTTTGCTCCAACATTTCTCTAATAAGATCCTCACCTATTTTTTGATGTATCAAAGCTTCCTGAAATAAGATAGTATGTCAAGTGCTGTGACTCAATATATATAGCATTTTTCCTTATCTGTGTATCCTTCTCTGTTATCAAGTACATGCGTGTAGATGCGTTGTCTGTGCATTCTGAGAGTTAATTATTGTTTTGTAAGTTAGATTTTTGGTTGTTTTTAGGAAAAAATTTAGTATTAAATATAAAAATCGTTCCCTATTCAACTTTAAACATATAGATAGATTAGACTTTCGAAGACCTCCATTTCTATAAATAATGAGAAACAGACACACAAAAGTAATTTATGTAAAAAAATTGTATACCCTGTGCTTGTCAATGAGGTCATACAACATGGACACGAAGTTGTCGCATTTTGTAAGTAATAACACCCACATAGCTCCAGTCGCTGAATCAGCACTTACATCATGGAGAACATGTCGCACTTCCTATAAATCATAATTATTATAATTAAAAACTTAAGAATAGTTAATCTTAATACACATTATATTCTACATTTGAAGCTTCTATGTCTGCAAAAGTGCGTTAGAGTTTTGAAAATCGGTCAGTTAGTGGCAAAATTAAGAAATTTGACTAGTTATAAATATCCCACTGGTACATATTGAATAAAATTTCAAATATACCGTGTTAATATAATGCCTGTATGGTTATCGAAAATTCAGGCTTCTAATTTTATCCACATCGAAGTTATAGGGGGTTGAAAATAGCGTGAACTGCTTCGAGAAAAGGATACAGCACGGCCGTACGTGTTACGCTTTTTTGATCGACTTAGCGAGTAAGGGAACGTTCAAGTATTACGTACGTATT